CTGACTGCAAAGAGTTAGGGGAGTGCTTTCCCCCGGGAGGAGATTATCCTGTTATTGCCCACAGTATGGTTTCTCGCAGCTTCCTGTGAAGAATTTTGTGCTGGACATGCTGGAAACAGGGCTCTGCATCAGCGGTGGGAGTAGCAGGGTTGGCAGCAGCAGTGCTGGTGGTCACCAAAGTCATACCGGGAGCAAAACTGACAGCAAAGCCCCAGGGGATGCTCGGGAGCAGTGGGGCTACACCATTACCTCATGCTGTAGAGGACGTGACCGTCGGGGAACACTCGCAGCATGATGTTGTCGGTGGTGGTGTCATGAATGAAGGACCTTTTGGAATGCACGAAGAAGACATCGGGGACCCAGATCTTCTTCACTAGCCTGCCGTCAAAGGTCATGCTCTTGTTGGTGGTGCTGGGAAATGAGAGACGCTCATCTTTCCAGTAGTGCCTTAAGTACAGAGTCATAGTGAAATCCTTCACAACAAGGGAAGAGAACCAGGGAGAGGTCTGTCAGTCTTGCTCCCTACATCTAGGAAACAGCAGAAAGAAAACTCACTCCTACCAGGTAGATGAAATCCCTCCCCTCTCAACTCCGATTTCTTTCCTTGACCAACGCTCTTCATGAATAGATTTTCCTGACAAAGTAATTTCAGCCAAAACAAAATATAAACAACCAATCAATGTATTACAGTACCCAGTAATGTTCAGTCCCAAAAGGGATATAAATATGCGTCAAGGGGAGAACGGGCTGCAGAAACGATTCTTCAATCCTGGCAAAAATTGTCTTGAAGGACTACGGTATCTACAGCCTGTTCAAGAGGAAACACTTTCAAAATTAGCTTAATGGTCAGGCTAAACACTAAGCAATTTATCCCCAGAAGAACTGAATTGTTGCAAACAGCAATCAAGTGAGGGAACTGTTTCTCCTACCATACAAGTGTATAAATAAAGCTCCTTTTTAAGCTTGTTGAGGGGGTAGGAGCTTCAGTCACACAAAAGAAAACATCTGTTTGTTGATCCCAACCTGGCAGCTGCTGCTTTCAGAGCTGAATCTACTCTCTCATGCTGAGAGATGAAATACATTTGCTTTATATTCCCAATTAAGCCAGAGGTTATGGGAGCCGCAGCTGCCAAGCCCAGGCAGAGAGCAGCACAGGCTACCATCTCCTCCTGACCACGCCGCAACTGCCGTCTAAAACCACCACCACCACCACCTCATTTTGCTTTGCTGATGACAAACCATCGGTTAACTCGACCCTCTGTTTCAAAGGGCTGCCCGGCAACAGATTCACGTTGGTAAGAGGTTTTTCATGAATTTGTCAAAGAAATCTCTAGTGCCAGCCCTCGCTTCGCTGCCCTGCATGGGGCAGAGCTGGCCGGACACCTCCCTCTCTGACCACGGCAGAGACCTGCCAGAGGAACACTTCTGCTCACCCACCTGCAGGTCCCCGTCTTGGCAGACTGGTCCCAGCCTCCATCCCGGCTCTCCCCAGGGATGCTGTCAGCTCCCGTTCCCCACTAGCCACTGGCCACCTTCCCCTTACAGCCACAGTCCCAAAGAAACACCTCCAGTCACTGCTGCTACCGGTAGGGCTTAGGTTGCAACCTGGCTGGAGGAGCCAGCCTCAGCGGTCAGACATCAAGCTCATCAGCTTGACCAGAGCTGGGAGAAAGGAAATCAAGGAAGAGGCATAACTGATGATTTCTCAGGAGTCAGTGCCAGTTACATCAGAAGTCAAAAAAGAGGTAAAAACAAAAAAGAGCCTGGCTATTCAGGGTCACCAGCCCTCACCTCGCGGCCCTGGGCAGCCCCGTGCCCACGACATGAGATGGAAGGACGCGAGGCCCCGGGAGAGGAGGGCCAGGCAGCCTGAGGCTGTGGCTGCAAAATGCCTCTGGGTTGCTCCATCGTCAGAGCACAGGGGGACATGGACCGATGTGTCCTCAGCCAGGCACCCTCAGCACAACTTACAGCCACCATAGAGGAGTGGGCAGAGGTCGCCTGCCAGGACAGCGCGGGAAGGGCCCCAGCACCCCTTCCCCTGTCCCACCAGACAGGAGCCCTCTCCTCTCTCGCCTTCAGCCCCCTTCTCTCTCCAAACAGGCCTCCAGTGGCCGACACACAGGGGACCAAGTGCTGCAAACACGAAGCCAAAGTGGCGGCTGATGACAACTTCCAAGTATAAAATCCAGCTTATGGACGTCTTCTCGTGGCGTGAGTTAAATGCGGCAGTTTGCAATCCCTGACAGCTTGTTCCTTTCTGACCAGCACACACGCTAGCTACAAGGTGAGAAAAGGGGGTTAATTTAATACTCACAAGCAGGAAAATCCCTTCGGAAACAAGTTTCACAGCAAACAGAGAACGGTAATACCTGTGGGAGGCACAGCACATGAGCACACACAAGTGCCTCACTTTCGGCAGCACATTTCGTGTTTGCGCCAGGCTCCAGGCAGCCTCAAGAGCATGCCCTGCCAGTGTACACAGCAGCAGCCCATCCATGCCGACCAGACAGGCACCAGTTATAAACCCACGGGCTTTAAACAGCCCCGTGCTGCTGTCATTGACAGGCGCCGTGTTGCAGATACAGGGGGCTGTGGCTGGTGATGCTTCCATCCGGTGCTTCTTTGGGGCACCGGGTGCTTGCTCAAGCAATGATAGGTAAAGAGTACCCAGCCGAGGGTACCTGATTTCTAGGGCCACTAACCCTTCAGAGTGGTTTGAAACAAGCCCTGCCTGCAGCTCTGCCCTGCCTGTGATGAGGAGACGAGGAGGGCACCCCGCTCGGGCACAGCCAGCCCGGAGCTCCTGGCCCTGCAGACAGCTTGCTGTCCGTTCTCCTCTCCGCAAACACCCATGCTGGGACAGACTGCTGGAAAAACAAACCAACATAACCCAGACTGACCTAGGAGACTATTCTTCCACCCCAAATACAAGTCAGCATCTGCTGTGGAAAATACTTGTCCTGTGCTGGGAAAATTGGGCTGCGGAGCTATCAATAGCAAAGGGAGAGGGCTGACCTCAAAGCTCTCTGAGAGGCAAGATTTTTGTTGAAATCAGATGCTCCTGACAGAAAACATTGCAAATTATTTACTTGCACTAATTAGGTCTCTTTGCTGCTCTGACATTATCCTGACATATTAGAGGCCCAAGTCTCCTTGCAACAGCCATCTCCTGCGCTGACAGCTCCCTCCCACCCGCTCCATTGCACGCATCCCCCCAAACCCTCTCTTTCAATATCCAGGCAGGCAAGCTCCCTTGTTTTAATGAAGATGTAATTGCACCACAGTAAAAACCGATCAACCTAAAGCTCTTCCCTTAAGTCTTCAAGTTTTGTCTAGACCAGAGAAGGTGCTCAAGAACAGGGAGAAAAAGGCAAAAGGAGGAAGGAACCAAGAAGTCTCCTCTTCTCCGTGTTCCCCTTTCCCATGGTTTTATTCCATTTCCTATAGTAAAAAAAGCAACAAACCCAAACAGGAAAATGCGTGTCAACACTCTTTTCACTAGAAACACCTTAAAACATGTTGAGAGTTAATAACTGCATGTTATTTCTTCCTCTTTTTTAATTAATACAAAAATAAAGATACTAGATCACAATTGAACTTGGTGCAAATTTCCCGAACAGCATCATAGGCGACCAAAGAACTATTCCCCCCCACCAAATTGCACTTTGGCAGAGGCAGTTCAGCCTCCCCCTGGCAGTTCCCACTCACTGGTTCCTCCCAGCGATGAAGAAGCAGGAGCAGCTCCTTCTCGTTTACGTTGCCAACTTAATTTTCTAACGTGCCTCCCAGAATCATGCATTTGAAACAAATGAACCCAATGGTTCCCTAAGGAAGAAAACTCTTGCCGTAAGCAGCTTACGTGAACTTCACCATACATCTTCAAGCCTTCGTATGCAGCTGTTTATGTATCTGGTTGTGACAGATACTTCATAGCACCGATTATTCTCCCATTTAAGGTCCCTTTTTCCTTCACACTTTTAATCTTTATCTGAAGATATAGCCATAGGCCTTTGATCACCTGGTTTTATCAACTCTTTAGTTCTGAGTATCAGCCTCTTTAAATTTGCCAAATGTTGCCATTACTTTCATCTGACCAATAATTTGAAATCCATAGGTTTCAAGTGGGAGGGACTTTTTATGACTAGGAATAATTGAGGCTTAAAAGAGGATTACGTACCATGTCAACCTCAGAAATACTGTCCAAGCTTTCAACTTGCACATCCACCCCAACAGGAATTGCAGGGCCTGTAGGAGAATGAGATTTGGCTATGTAAATAACCGTTCTTTTATATCATCTGCATTTAACTAGCACTATAAGGTAGCATGCAAAACATTTCTGAGCTTATGTTATATTTTTATGTCCATGATTCTTCCTGAGGGGGCCGGGGGAAGAGTCAGTGAATAACCATGTAAGGCCCCTTTTGAAACACTGAATTATCTTCCCCTTGGCATGCACTGCAATGTTGACACTGCCCAGCTAATCCAGAGCTTGGATGAAACATTTGCATGTGTTTTTAAAAACTGAGCCATCCCATCATAAATTTTAGGCCTTTATGAACAAATTTGGCCCCAAGAACAGGGGACTGACAAGAAGAAACTGCAAAATGCCTCTCAGTCTCTGCCAGGACGGCTTCACGGCACGATGAGGTTGTGCCAGAAGAGGAAGGCAGCCATCGTCCGTGGTGCTTCCCACTGGGGCTCCCTGGTGCCAAGGGTCTGCGTGCCCAGCACATGCTGGGCAGCCCCCTCCAACTTCCAGACTGCAGGCTGCAGAATGCTTAATTTAGCCTTAATTCAGGAAATCAACACCCATCCAAAGTCTATTTACTGCTGTGATTTCCACGCTTGACTGAATACTAGTCACAGATTAAAAAAAAAACCAAACAACGAAAACCAAACACACAAAAACCCCAAAATCACAAACAGAACACTGCCAAGTTGGTATTTGTCCTTCTCTTCTATTCCTTCCCTATCTGCTCTTGAAGATAAAATACTATGTTCACGTTCTTTTCTTTTTTCATGTTCCTACACCAAATGTTCAGTTTGGTTCCCAGATAACTTGGCCCATCACTTTTCAACACTTCTACAAAGATGCAGTTTTGCAGAGGCACTTGATGCGAGCAGCATTGCAAATGCGTGTAGTGTTTGAAGCAAAACAGAAGCCCTGTAAAGAAATGCCCTCTTTAAACCGCAGAAACAAACCCTGGGTTTCCTTAAAGGTCATCTTGGTTCCAGCACATAACATTGAATTAAATGGCTGTCAATCAGTCACAGAAAGATGTCAAGAGATCTTTGGTCTCACTAATCCTTGGAGTCAATTGGGAACTGCTAGCTTCTTAATCCTGTCCCTCTGGAAACTAAACTGTTGAACTACTACGGCTCCAGATGCTTTGCCAAATTCCCTGTCAAATGCCACCAGGGATGGGCAAACAGAAAAAAAAATCTCTTTATTGAGAAGGAGTAGAGCATGAGGAAGGTGTGAATGGGAAGGGAAAAGAACAGCTGAGGTGGTATCTGACACATTGAGCAGGTAGACAGAGGACAAGTAACTTAGATTACAGCATTAAAAGTAAAAAAGCCCTCATCAACCACTTTTCCTTGTCATAAACAATATTTTATCAATATTTATTTTTTTCTTCAGAAAGAGGAAAAACGGAAAGATCAGCTTGGAGAATTAGAAGCAGGAAAAGACCTGACTACTGTAATGCTGGAGAAATCTCAAAGCTCAGGCTCCTCTCTCGGATGTTCCCTGCTGGATGGGAAGCTCTACGGCTCCATGTGAAAGCTGTGGGTTTGGCTGAGAAGAGGAAGCCGTGCTGCTTCGCTCAAAGACTGCAAAGCTTTTCAGCTCATACTTTAGGGTCTCTGAAAAATGTCAGCCAAATTCATGGATTTATTCAAATTAAACATGAGCTGAAGTATTTATAGATCAAAGTCTAGAGAGAAATTGTGTAACTTTCAACTGAAGCATTTCTTCCAGAAACAGCAAACACGTCGACATGAATTATCTCCATCACTGTCCACAGCAATATCTTGCAGAACTGAAATCCTAATTCAGCAGGACTGATACAACAAGAAAGCAAACCCTGGGCTCTTAAAAAACTTCATAGAAGTCACAGACTTCCACTTACAACACTGAAACGAACTCACCAATAAACTATTCCCCTTGCATCTCAGACCCAGCAGAGTGGCAGCTTCCAAGCAAGCTCAAGACATTCGCACAGTCATTAGCAAATTTGATAACATAAAAATTGGAAATGGAAAGTAGGAGATTTTTCTTTGGAAGGAGATATTTATATTTGCTTGTTGAGAGAGGATTTAAGTGACCTGAAGCACAATTTGAGGCTGATGGGAGCCCTTCTGCTTTCTCTCTTGCGTTGGGCAGTATCCCTCAGCCCCACAATTTCTGCACAGGATTTACAGGCGATAGGGCAGAGCACCCTTGCACCTTCTCACTGTAAAGGCACCGGCTTCCGAAACTGCATCAGCAACACCTTATTTCTGTAAATTCCTGCACCTCAGTGTCCTTGCCTCACATCAAACTTGGATATTAAAAAGATACTCAGGGGCCAGCCTGCCAAGGTGTTTGTGGCTTTCTGTGTCTTTATTCCTTTGCCAAATTCACAACCCGGTGTGCTGAGAATCCGCGGTGAGAGTGCTCCCTCATTTCTCTTCCTTCTGCGGTGAGCTGCTCTGTTTTGTGACCCACTCTTCAGTGAAAGCCACCACACATTCAAGGTGCTGCACACAGAAAAGATGCTGCACAGAACACCTTCAGAGAAGAGCCACTTTGCATCTGCATTCAGTGGTTGTACAAGGAGAACAGACCAACTCAAGCCATCTCCATTTTGGGTGGGTTCTGACATCAAGAAGACTTTGTGGCTTGTTTCACCTTGCAAAAACTCCGGTTTGAATACTAAACTCTGTCCCAGGTTGCATGGTCTGGGGCTAACCCCTCCAGGGAACCCGGAGGTTTCCACAAGTCCCGTTCAGGAACGGCTGCCGAAGGTGCCCAACGTTAAAGCCTGTCGCATCCCGGTGTGGCTTGGCACCTAAAGCCACCCACTGAGGAGCAGCATGAAAGCTGCAAAGGACCAGTCAGCTCCCAGTCAGAAACAGGTATGGGACACAAACACAGTTTTTGGTTTTTAACAGTGCAGCAAGCTTTGGAAGATAGGGAAGTGCTACTGTGAAAATGCCTGGAGTCAGTTTTCCATGCCGGCTCTGAGACTAAAGCTTTACAACATCTCTTTAATTTTTCTCTTTGGCAGTGATTTCAAAGGCTCATTGTTTTTCTCTGGGACAGTCTCTCTGCCCCCCCATTTACCTTTGAAGGAGTGAGGCAGACGTAGGCCCTGAGATAAAAATATCTACACGGGAAACAAGCAGATTTGAGACTTCTTTCCTGCCAGATATTTTGCGCACACCCAGAGAGGCTTGCAAATGTCCATAAGAGATCCCACGTCTGCAGGCTGCAAAACAGTCTGCAGTGTTTCTGCATGTATGTGTGTCTGTGTGTATATATATATATTTGTGTTTTTTAATGAATGTATGTATGTTTGGGACTTCTTAGGTGTGGGCGGTTTCCAGCAGCTCCCACCACCAGCTCATCAGCTGCCACACGACAGCAGAGAGCTTCATTCCTCTGCATCCCGCTGACGGCTGGTCATCGAGGGAGAAGCAAGTTTTATTCCAGCCCTTGATATTAACCCTAGGTGAACTACTTACGCTTCATTCACCCCACCATTCATCCGTCCTGACAAAAATAGTGTCCAGAAAGGGCAGCGAGGACCAGCTGACCGTAGGCTATTAGGCTATGAAGAAATATAATAAAAGTGCAGCATTAGGCTGTTCCTCAGCAAAGAAGATACAGCTATTTTAAGTATCAACTAAAGCTGCTTATTCACAGGGTCCCTGTAAAATACGAGATGTCATAGATCAAATGCTTAAAATGGATGTTTAAGGAAGGCAGCAAAACAAACATTTACATAATCTTTAAATATTAATATTTGTAAATAATACCTGAACATCTGCTAGCTAGAACAAGGTCACTGACATGGAGATAACTCCCTAAGGGTCAAAACGAATGCAGTCTATTTTAGCTTATGGAGGCTACTTTGAACATCAGCAAAGCAAAAAACTTTGTCATTACCACCGTACCCAATAACTTGTCTCTAATGCTGAGAGCAGGCAAGACAACCATGCTTATTGGGCTGTTAATAACACAACTTACACAACATTTGCTCGCTCACTTGCTCTTTACAAAAATACTTTATCTTGAAAAAGCCTTCACCTTTCTCTAAGGTTTTTCTTCCATTTCACCTTGCATAACCCCAGCCTGCTCTGTCCCATGGTCACAGCTGTGTTGTGGCAGCTTGCTGGCTCTCCTCTGCAGACCAGCAAGTCACCGTGGCCACCATAAAGCAGCTACAGACCCCATCCCCTCTTTAGCTTAAAGTTCAACGGTGAAGTTGTAGACTGGTCCACCAAAAATGTTGAAGGTTCACAGCTGCCTGTTATTTCACCAAGCTTGGGAACCATCATATTTACAGTACCGGGTTTCTTTGTATTCTAATGTCACTCACAATTTCTTTGTGATTTAATTAAGTTTTCCAGAGTTGAGTTGCCTTTCCTACTCACACCCTACCATCACAGGCCCAATGCAACCCCATGGGGCTGGACTCTCCATTGGACCATGGTCCTTGAGCTGCTCTCAGAGAGCAGGGAGGGTCTTAGGGCCACGACCAGTTACAGTCACACGTGTCCCACGGGCTCCTCTACTCCACTGCCACAGTACAAAAGCCTTTTTGTCCTACGCAGGCCAGGCCACATCAGTTTGACAGGCATTGCCGCAGCAAAAATCTCAAAGAACTCTCAGTGCATAGCAAACTGCTGTGACTGCCCGACGAATAACATTACAGAAGAAAATACATGGATCCCCTCTTACCAGACTTCTGTTTTACTTGCTGGCTGGGGTTAAACCACGACAGCCTGAGCCGTGCTTTCCAAGGCCGGAGCCTCAACAAAGCTGTTGCCATGTTTTGTTCCTTATCATATGCAACTTCAGCACAACTTTGCTAAAACTCCACCTTTGTACTAGGTACCTATGCAAGATAAGGAGGTTTCGAGCAAAAATTAAAGAAACATCATGTTTTTCCTTTATAAATAAAGTTGCCTTCTCACTGAAGACTGTTAGGATATTTCCAATTTTATAAATTGTCCACCAAGTTTTTAGGCTCTAGGGGTATCCTAATGCTGTGATGGGAGGTAGCATGGGAAAACAAGGCAAGAGGGAGATTAAAATGTTACATTAGCACTGGAAGAGTAACCACATAACTACATGTGTCTATTTGGTGTGAACGGTGCACAAAGGTGTTTCTCATGGGCTCTGTGACATTGATAAAAATAGTAGAAATTCAGTCTGTTTACAGAAATACAGTGCAGTGGTGACACTGGACATCAAAATCTAAACCATCAGAACAAAAGCCCTCAGCTTCCCCAAAAAGCACAGGCATCATGCTCTGACATACAGTGGCTCTGCAGAAGGGTCTCGACAGGCTGGATCGATGGGCTGAGGCCAACTGTATGAGATTCAACAAGGCTCAGTGCTGGGTCCTGCACTTGGGTCACAACAACCCCATGCAATGCTACAGGCTTGGGGACGAGTGGCTGGAAAGCTGCCTGGTGGAAAAAGACCTGGGGGTGTTGGTCAACAGCTGGCTGAACATGAGCCAGCAGTGTGCCCAGGTGGCCAAGAAGGCCAACAGCATCCTGGCCTGTATCAGACACAGCATGGCCAGCAGGACCAGGGCAGTGATCATCCCTTTGTACTCTGCGCTGGTGAGGCCGCACCTCGAGTGCTGTGTTCAGTTTTGGGCCCCTCACCACAAGAAAGACCTTGAGGTGCTGGAGTGAGTCCAGAGAAGGGCAACGAAGGTGGTGAAGGGTCTGGAGCACAAGTCTGATGGGGAGCGGCTGAGGGAGCTGGGGGGGTTTGGTCTGGAGAAGAGGAGGCTGAGGGGAGACCTGATCGCTCTCTACAACGACCTGACAGGAGGGGGTAGCAAAGTTGGGGAGAATCTCTTCTCCTAAGTAGTGTGAAACCACACAACCTCCTATCCCCCTTCAGAAGACAACATACAATCTAGTGACACAAATCAATGAAGTGTTGATCAAAATTAATAAAGTGTTGATCTCATCCCTGGAATTGTTCAAGGCCAGGTTGGATGGAGCTTTGAGCAATCTGATCTAGTGAAAGATGTCCTTGCCCATGGCAGGGGGGTGGACTAGATGGTCTTCAAAGACCTCTTCCAACCCAACCCATTCTGTGATTCTGTGGTAAAGCACTGCTGTGCCGGGCAAGTCGTATGGGCTCACCAATATACATGACAGAGCAGTGTGCCAACAAAACAAAGCCGGACTGAGGGCTGCGAACATCCAGCCAACACCTCACAGATCCAGGCTTTGCAGACAGAACAGAAGAATGGGAAAAAGAAGCCTAAGAAGTCAGGTAAAGGAAACCAAGACCAATAAATAAACAAACAAACAGGAGACTGAGCCAACAGGGTGGTTGGTTGGACAATCCCGACAGTGACCATCTCCTCCTGGAGCCAAGAGGATTTCGGTCAGTCCATGAAACCAGTCTCATGACTCCCCGGTCTTTTCGTCGTTCAGAGGTCAGGTTCCTTCCCAAATCCTCCCTGCTGAAAGGCTCACCTTCCAATAGAAGCAACCTGGCAGGTGAGGACATACCAGCAATAAGCCCTAATCTCCCTTTCCCTAACCAGAGAGTGGAACAGCAGTGTACTGTCAAGGGGATACCCATCTGGAGCAGGTGAGGGGCCTGAGGGCAGCTCATTCAGCATCACTTTTACAGTTGATTCAAAAAGGAGCAGGCATGCCTGGTGCCTCCTGAGCCAGCTCCTAGACCTCAACCCTAAGCCTCAGCCGCCGGCCTGGGCTTGTCAGATGTACTCACACCAACCCCAGGGAGATTCGCCTGTGTTCCACTCAGAGGACAATTTAAGGCAAACTTCTTCAACCCTAGAAATAGCAGATCAAGTTTACCACTGATTATCAAAAGATATACCTCCGACGAGCAGGCTGGACTGCAACTTGCTAGTAAATTACAGTGGGGGGAAAACAAATCACTGGTGATGACATATTTTGGACTCTGGAGTTTGGAGATGTATAAATCGTGAGCATGGGGACAGCACTGTCAGATGCTGTCAGATCAGCCCATCTGAGCTGTGGGGTGAAAATCATCCTTCCAGCCATGCCAGGAAGAGGCAGGGCAGAGAAGCTCTGTTCTACGGTGCAAAAGACAAAATACCCGTGTGACCCACTGAGCAGGGAGATGTTGCCCTTCGTCCTAGACTGCTGATTGACAAAGGATGCAGGATTAGTCGTTCAGTGAAAACCACAGAAAACTCTGTCCTTAGCTCTGGAGGGTCTTGGTTATTGATCTAATCAGAAGAGGGATTTCCATACTGGTGTTCCAGCACTTTTTTTATTCAGGTACTCTCTTACTTCTGCAGTAGTGCGTCTAGAAAGATCAGGTGAGCACATTCCTGTAACTGGGTACGACAGAAGAGAAGGTGATGGAGGCCTTCCCTCATGCTCTTTTGGTTACTTTAGAGAGTTTGAGACAAGATTTTATCTGGACAAAAATACTCCATTTTCTCCTAGCAAGGATGGGGTGTCATCCACCTAACGAGTTCTTTACTTTTCACAATTTGATCACATCAGCTGAAAAGCTCAATGCAACTTCACAACCACAAATGAACATTAAAACCTGCAGCTTGTTCATCTTCTCACCGGAGCGAAACACTTACTGAGAGGGTCCATCCTGAGCTCTGAGGAACACCAGCCCAAAAAAGAGCCAACTTCAGCAACAGGAAGGAGTGTAGGAGCTGTACAGAGCACAGAGGGCTAGGAGGGGAGGATAAGGTCTCTGAATTGCCTCGAAAATCTCCTGAGAGCTCCCAAGTCCTTTCCCTTCACATTGGTGCATCTGGCCAGAGATTTGTTGGGTTTTGTTTTTAATTAGATGAGCATGAAAACAAAAGAACCATTTTATTCTCACCTCCAAAAGCTGGCCGCATGGTGAAGTCATGGTCGTCGACTCTGAGAAGCTGCTCTGTCTTTCCTTTCCAGGTTTTGGTCACGTCATGATTCTTCTTAAAGATGTGACTGCAAAAAACACCAATAGCGTTGGTCTGACATCTCTGTGCCCCAGCAGCACCCTGCAGCCGACTTCTGCCGGCCCAATTTGGGAGCCGCAGGAGCAGCAGCTTGAGGGAAGCGGGGTTGCTGCCAGCAGCACGACCTAGGTCAGCGCGGCAGCCCCAACCCTGCCTCCCCTCGGCGTTAACTCGGACCTGGCCTAACCCTGCCTCTCCTCGGCGTTAACTCGGACCTGGCCCTCCCTGCGGCAGCCCGGTTGTCTCTGCCCGGCTCCGAGATGGACACTGTGCTCCATCCACCCCGCACACCGCGGTGGCTCCCAGGGAGGCACAAGGCCACGAGCACAGCATCTCATGGAGGAGCCGGGATGCATTGCGGTTTGCCATAGGAAGTGTCTCGTCATCTGCCGGAAAGGTGAATGCAGCCGCCAGTGCCTCCGCGGAGGTGATGGATGCACTGAACGCGCCTGCCCATCAGGCCCCTTTACTGACAATCTGATCACCGGTATCTCATAAATCCTCCCTGATGTACTTATGGTCTTTAGCACTTCTGATTGTAGATTTGTCAGGATTTCTTTCAGCTTTATGTCCTCTCTGCAATTCACCACTGTTCACATAAAGCCACTCACCTCCCTTTCCCTTTTTGGCCATGTTTTTAATATATAATTTATTGCTGTTTACACTTCACTCAAGTGGGATGAGTTCGATAAAATTGTCTTTTGTGAAGACTTGTTCCTGTTTCCAGAGGAGAGAAGGGGACAGGTATCTCCTTGAACTTCTGTAAAAACTTCTCCATGATTACCTTAAATTTTTTTTTATATTTTCCTTTCCAGTCAATTTTATTCAGAATTGTTCTCAACTGCATAAAATAGATCCTTTTTATATAGCCAAATATATCAAAGAAAATTAAATTTTGATGGCATGAGAAATCACAGCTCAGCAGGACTCAAAAAAGCAGCAGGTGTCTGTGGAGACATTCAGACCTTTCCAGAGGAAGATAAAGACCCTAAAAACTTGGGAACAGTCCTTGTGCTGTGGGACACAAGGCAAGGGCTAAGTGGTGAGCCTGAAAGGAAACACGTTCTCCATCCCGAGCGTGGTGCAGCTGCTGGCAGCCAGGGTCGGGGGGTTTCTGCATCTCCCTCTGGAGAATTCAGCATTGACTTCAGTCACAAGATGGTATCTCACGGTCATGGGACATCAGTTTATCCTATTTCCTAAGGGGATTCCGAAAATATTTCTACAATTTCAGTGAAAATCTTCCAGCACTTCAGTATATTCTCTGGGAAAAAAAATATTCATTAGTTGAAGGTGTCATTTACTTTCTGTAGCGGCCACAGCAATCTGGAGTAGACACACACTGTGTACACCTAGCACCAAGAAAGATACCAAACCTCCTGTTTTTCTAACCAACGAAGCGTAGGACTGCTGCAAAGATCCCCGAGAGGGTAAATGAAGACGAGAAGGTACAAGAAGAGTTTATGACTGCTGTAACAACTCACTCGCTCCTAGATGAGCATTCCAAAGGTATTATCTCCATTATGCTACAAGCGTATCCCACATAGACGTGTATCTTCAGTATTCTCTACATGGATGGCATGGGATCAGATACGGTCGAGAGTTTTCTGACAAGCTGGGGACCTCAAGGTCCTCAGTTTTGGGGAGGTCTCATTCCATTGTCTGTCAGGGCCACCAATTCATGGGTGGTTGCCCTTGCAATGAGTCTTGGTTGCCCAAGAAGCCCTGGTAGCTCCACAAGAAGACGAGTCTGTCCGGGTTCACATGGATGGCCACACATGTCCCTCTTGTTCTCAGAGACACAGGGGAGAGAGACTTTGCTGGCCTGCCTCCGGGTATAACATGCTCCACAGCGACACATCTGTGGTTTTATGACTAAAGGAGGAAAGAAAGGAAAGTGACTTTCCTTGCCAGATTTCTAGAAAAAAACCTAAATCAGATTCTGGAAATGATGGACACAAACTTGGTGGATGCAAGTTATCATACACATTAGGAATATTTTGTGGTCACATGCCCAACACACCTTATCATCTGTTGCTTAGGACCCTCCATTTTCACTTGGTTTTTATAAAGTACGTTTTTTAACCAGAAAAAAAAAATGTTCTATGCTTGTTCATGTTTTCAGCTTATTAAAGATGAGTGCAGAATACATTTGTTCTTCACAGCAATAAATTGGAGTCTCTTTTTTACGAAGCCTATCACAAACCCAGCAGTCCTTGCCTCTTCCTACACCCATCCGGGCCAAAGCCAAGGGCTGTAACAGGGCCAGCGAAGGGGGCCAGCGGCTGCCGCGGCAGGAGGGGGCAGGACAGCTGAAGAGACGGCGCCGAACGCAGGCAGGCTGGTGAGGAAGCAGCATAGAGGCTCTAAACATCTCACAGTCTGCACGGACAACTGCACAACTACTACAAAGTCAGAGGGGACAACATCGGCGGCAGCAGAGAAGTCATAACGGCAAACATGAAGGCATGGAGCATGCAGTCAAGACAAGGCATGAGGTTTGCTTCTCAGATCTGCTGTTGCCATTTGCGTGTGTGCACGTCTCTGCCTGCTTTTGTTTCACATTGCTATTTGGTCCTGCTGTGATGCTGCAGCATTGGTGAAAAAAAATCTCAGGAGACATCAACCCTTGCACAACTAGAAGCTGTGTAATGCTCGGGACTTGAAACCCCGGTGAGCAACACACCCGTACAAAATGGTTATCAACATTTTAATCACTGAGCTACTAACGAATATCAAATTTTCTGAGAAACCACCGTAGAGCAGAGGGGGTCAGTAGGGGCTGGGGGGTACCACAGGCCAGAAAAGATGTCTGCAGCACCTGGTTGAAAGGTGGGGAAAAAAACGCAGCCCCACAAGGCAACGGAGGGAGGCTGCCTGCCAGCAGCAGCCCTTTCATCAGGGATCAGCAGACAGCTTGTCCCAGCGGAATGCTGGTTGGAAAAGCGTTGGTGTGCTGAGCCGAGCCTTCTTGGCTCAGCATCTGTGTGACTGTTGTCGTCTGCTTCTGGGTCCCAGCCTACGGCTGCCATGTAGCGTGTCCTGAAACTTCTGTCTCTAACGAGGTACTCCAAATCACCGACCGCTTCCGAACTCCTTGGCACGAAGGCTGTAGCTAACAGAAGCTCAAAGCCACTTCTCTTCCAGAAGTGCAGCGTTTCTGCTGGCTGAAGCATGAAGCGTTGCACAAGCGTCAGGAGAGCGGAACAAGCAAACTCGGAGCCAGCCTGTGTCTGTCTGTCCAGCACAGAGACCTTTGGAAACACAAGATTCATGGGCACAACCGAGATGGCAAATGGCTCCTGAGCCCTCTCTTCTAGGACAATTTATGCAGAGCAATAAACATTACCAGAGGCATTATCAGCAATTTTTATAGAGCAATAAATATTAACGAAAGCGCTATTTTTCAGCATTTCTTTTTTTCTGTGTGGAAATTCTGTCCAGCTGGATAGTCCAGGAGGACTGCCGGCATTTCTTTGCGATTCCTGAGACGCAGCCACTGCAGAGCTATTGAAGAGTACCCCAAACTGTTCCAAACACCCAGTGCTGGATGTGCCAACAGCGCTTGCTGGGCACTTCCAGGAAGGCGGATGCTCGGAGGACGCCACAAGCACACAGACGCACACACCGCACCGCCAGCCCTACACCTACCCTCGGCTCTGTACACAGCTCCCTTGCAAACCCCGGCTGGCAACACGGCGGCACAGAGCGTGGCCCATCCGACACGTCCACCTGCACCTTCCCACACTTACACACCGTCTCCTTCAGCGCCAGTTTTTTCTTCCTCTCTGGAAATTTATTCCCTGGGGTACAGGTACGGCTGGGGCCAACACCCCCTGCCCAGCAGTCACCCCGGTGAGTCCGACAAAAGGTTTTACTTTGCAGTTCATTTGTCACTTGATTTCTCCAAAGAGAATGAAATGTAAACTTTTTAAACAAACAGTTCTGTTAGTTATAAGCCCTTGGTTTCACGCACCATTTGTCAGCTTGTACATCAGCAAGAATCCCCTCAACTTCATACAAAGAGGTGTCACTAATATCCTTCAGCCAGCTTTGCAATATACAGACAGAGACCATATCCCTGGAAAACATAACAAAACCTACCATCGAAGTACAAACCCAGGAGCTGTTACTCGACGAGCGCACCCCAATTTCCTACGCAAAGCCTGGGCTCTCCAGCGTGTAACACGAAGCTGCGCCAGGCAATGACCACGGCAGCGATGCAGTTGAGTCTAAGTCATACCTCCGTTTGTAGAAGAGTTGTGTTATCAGTGAGGTGGGGGATGCAGGAGCAAGGGAAAATGAAACAGGACAGTTTCTAATGAAGCAAGCATTAGCCATTCAGAAAAAATAACGCGGTACCGTTCAACAGTAATGTAAAACGAGGGGACGCACAGGCAAGTTGAGTCTAAGTCATACCTCCGTTTGTAGAAGAGTTGTGTTATCAGTGAGGTGGGGGATGCAGGAGCAAGGGAAAATGAAACAGGACAGTTTCTAACGAAGCAAGCATTAGCCATTCAGCGTGCTGAGTGAGGTACCACTCACAGAAAAAATAACGCGGTACTGTTCAACAGTAATGTAAAACGAGGGGATGGAGCAAGGGAAAATGAAACAGGACAGTTTCTAATGAAGCAAGCATTAGCCATTCAGAAAAAATAACGCGGTACCGTTCAACAGTAATGTAAAACGAGGGGACGCACAGGCAACCCTTAACCTGGCGTTTCTGGATTTGGGTCCCTACCTCCCCAGCCCTACCCTGGCGTTACCACACTCCTTTCCCCCCGAGGGCAGAGGCTCCACAACCCCTGCGTGTGCGCTTGGCAGAGCTGGCTCCGCGCCCCCAGGACCCCTCACGGCCGAGAGTGGTCTGCACTCGCACAACCCCAGCTAGCTTCTTGAAACCCAGAAAAAGATCTTTAGATCGGGTTGGTGTATCACCTTAAAGGGCACAAAATATCAAACTTATCAAATGTAGAATCCCAAACATAGGAATAAATTTACTTGGCTAATACATCTACTGTAAAATTTACTGTTATTTCTTACGGTAAGTTAGCAAGAGAAATATTAAGCTGAAAATGTGATGAAATTATTAAAAAGGACACTGTTTTCATTTCTCTTACATGATTAGAAAACCAGCATATGAATTGGTTTTAATTTCCTTTTACTGGAAAAAAGTCCACCATTCACTGCTGGTTTAGAGACAACTATATTTTTCCTATGTAACTGGAAATTTAAAATATCAACATCACTGCTCCATACATTCTTTTTTTTTTTTTTCCCAGTATTGCAGAATTTTCTGTATTTAAAATGTCATTCACATTTGATAGTCCATAAAAGTTGATTTTATATACTTTTAAATAAGTACATTACATAGGTAATGTACATATATAAGACATATAGTTCCTCAGGTTCTACCTGGCTGGAAAACTGTTCATTAAAATCATTATTCCATAGACAACCAAATAGTATCAGTTATTCTTTACAGTAAATTCATTTATATAAATAATTTTAGCAGTGCTTTGACATCCACTCTATCACAGCTTCATAAAAATAACAGCACTGTAGAAATTGTAAAATATTTTCACAGTGTTTAAATGAAGTACAAAATATTCAAACAACTTTTAACCCAAAAAATGGCACTACTTTGGGGCAAAGTCATGGATTTATACTCCTGTTACTTCAAAGCAGATGATCTCTACTACATGTGAATGGTTTGCAAGAAAAAGCTGCTGTTGAATCCCCCCCATTTCCCAGAACACAGACTGGGAAAAATTTTCAGAGTTAAATGAAAGATCTCCTTCAATAATGGAGATTCTGTGGAAATCAGTGGCAAAACTTCAGTTGGCTTTAGGATTTCAGGATCAGGCCCTAGCTGTTTCAGCTTTATAACATTTACGTCACTAAAAGCATATGCTACTGTATTTTTTCAGTAAGTAGGATAAATCTGAGAGCATATTAGTATTCTTTGCTTCCAATTATATCACGACATTTGTTTGTAAAATGTTCAAGTAACTTATAGCTTTTAAAAGCGTTGAGTGTTAAACCAAAAAACCCAACAAAATACATGAAAACATGAAGGTTTACAGCCATAGTGAAGCCATTTAATAAGATGGATTAACCCAATTTTATTTTTGAGCCCTTTGAACAATGCACAGTCTTGTAAGATATAATTGCCAGTGGATGACATAACTACAAAAAAGGATAACATACTTTGGACTGCCTGACAGGTTTGGAAGATTATCTTTTCTAATGTAAACCTCCGGTCAAATCTCAGCAACAGTAAATCTAATAAACTTTACTCGAACCTTTAACTCTTTGTTGTGCCTTTGCTTGACTGTAAAATACATGTATTTTTTAAAGTCCCCATGTATTTCTTCAAAATATATTTTCAATTTTACAATCCTTGGGTAACTTCCAGGGATTTGTTATTCATTAGTATAATGCACGCTAACCAGCATCCCCACCTCAAATTGTTGGAGAATAACATGCAATTTCAAGCGAACCTAAGTAGCACAGCAAGCAGGGTAAATAACCTGCCCTTGAAACCGTGCTGAAACAATAGGTAGATTTGAACATCTCTATTAATTGCAACTTCTCTGAATTCTCTCAGTAATTCACATACAGGGCTAAGAATGTTTTTTACCACAAATCCCCGTTGAAGTGGTCAACTTCTCTGTAACACCAGCCTCATTCAGAGTTAATTAACACCAGCATTAAATGTGTCCATTTACAGTTAAAACTGATTATACTATCGGGAACTGTTATAAAAACATTATCTATGAAGCTGTTTGCACATACGATATACACAAAGACACCGACAGGGCAGCATGTCTACGTAGCCACGTATTTATAACACTGCAGGAGAAGAATCATGCATGTCTTAATAACCCTTACCTTGCCCTCTGCACCTCCAGCGGGCTCGTCCACCTCCTCCTCCTGTGTTTTCTGCTTTCCACGAGAAGAACTAAGCAAAGCGTTAATAAAAGGAGTTTTGCAAAATAAGGCATCTTGCTGGAAATGGGAGTCGGGCACTCTGCACTCCAGTAACCTCCTGTAGGACAACTCCCCCCGGGTTTCAACATTGAACCAAGTCTAATTGCGGCGTAGCGTGGTCGTCGGCGATGGGTGGTGGGAAGGCTGCTTTCCCGACGTGAGGTTTTCCACAGGCTTTAGGGGCTTCTCACTCAAAGCTTTTCCCGCATCGCCGCTTAACGATTGGCCATTATTCATGAAGTTTGCCTCACCGAACGTTTCCACTGGGTCCTAAAGGATATTTACTAAAGCCATTATATAAAAAAACCCGCAATTCTGCACGCCGGCTTTTTGCTCAATCCCCTAATCTCAGGACAAGCTATCCTCCTGCCAGACTCTGTAAAACCGGGCTGTCCCTTTTCATTAGGCTTTCCAGATTTTGTTCCTTCGTATGGCATCTTTTTCAACCAGAAACCGCCTGTGCCATGTTTCAGACGGGTGTTATTGTAAAATGTACATATTTTGATGGTTTTATAGCAGTAGAGGTTTTACTTTCTAATTTATTCTGACTCTTTATGCTCTTGAAGATAAAGGATGAGCTATTTCCTCTGAAAATTATGACTATTTACTGTTAACTTTTAAAGGAAAATTAAAACACAGTAACCCCCAAAGTATCCACACACACAATCAACTCTTTACATAAATCGTCACCATTAATATTTATTTTTTCAAATAGGCATTTGCACAATCAGGCATTTTAACTTGTATTAAAGAAGACTGAAATAAAAATGAAAAGTTACAAAGCAGCTATTTCTTTAATCAGAAGGAAAAGTCCGTTTCCAGAAACCATTCAAATCTTATTTTCTCATAGCCCATTTGAAGGGCAAAGCAGACCGTCTCTTTGCAGAAGATTTAGCTGCGTTCCCCACAGCCAACGCGGGACAGGTACGACAGCAAAAGTTTGCCTGGCACAGCAGTGAGGCTCTAGGAAAAGAAAAGCACATTCAGAGCAAAGCTTCCAGAGGAGCAAGCGGGTGAAAAACCAGCAAAAGTGTCTTTTGGGTCAGACCTCTTCCAGAGCTCTCTTCTGTGAGCCCAGGTTTGCAATACTCAAAGAGAATGGGTATTCAAGCAACATACCAGCTAGGAAACACGGCACTGTTATTTTAGAGGCTACAGGATCTGGAGGTCATTTTTTGGGTTTTGGTGTGGGGTATTTTTGGGTTTTGTGTTGGGTCTTTTTTTTTAATTTCTAATGAAATAAGTATACAAATTAGGTAACAACCTACTATCAATTAATATATTGACACCAAATAGTTCTGCAGCAGAATGTGTAAGTAACTGCTGAATAAACTACATACTTTTGTCTGAACTTCTTCAGAAAACTATTTCTTTTAATCTTTGTTCCATTGTACCTGCAAATGAGATTATCAACAATCCACAAGAAGTGCTAAAAAAGAACTCAGGTTGGTTTTTTCTTTTTAAAAATTTCCATACCCCCCTTGAACACACAATGGGCTTTCCTTATTTTCGAAGTTGTTATAGCTACTTTAATGTTTCAAAACACTAATACATACTATATTTAACAAAATTAGGAAAGCTTTAGGTAGCTTGATAAATACTTGCTGAGAAACAGGATGAGAATCTCACTCAAGCCAGTGCTATCATGTTTGACAGCAACAAAACGAAAGTTAGCTAAATTTCATTGCCTTTGAAATAAACATGCTAGGATACATTTAAATCTGGACAATAATACAAGAGGAAAATTATCCCACTGATTGCTTTCTTCTACTTCACTGCAATACCTCAACATTCACAGACAAAACCCCTCAAAACCCTAACAATTGTAGGTCTATTGCTTGTGTATGTGATTTCACAGCATTCATGAATATTACCAGTTATTTTTTTAATAAACAAATAATACAGAAAGTCTCTGGGTCCAATATTGATTTTAGGTTAAAAAAACCCCACTGAAACAAAACAAAACCAAACCCACAAACAAACCCACAAAAGGCCATGTAATACTTGAAACATAACTGAAGACTGGCTTGAAACTGTTTATTATTACTAGGGTTTTAATAAATATTTCTCTTAAGCATGTTTATATATATATATGAGAGTTTAAGTATAACAACATTTAAATTTTTGTTAGTAAATAAAACCACATATGAAACATTCAGTTCAACACATTATGTATATTTCTGGTACAATTAAAAGACAATAGCTCTGGGTAAATAATTATATTACATATTTATAACTATTGCAAGAATAGACATGTTTTATATAATCTTCAAATTTAAAAAAAACCAAGATATACAATTGAGAGTATTAGAAGAGGACATTCAAATCTTGTAAAAGATTATCCAACCTTTCTTCCAAAAAATAAAAACCAAAATAATGTAAGTAGTTTTCTGGCCCCTTCTTTCCTCCCCTACTCCTTTCCCCCTTTCACACACACAAAGCAGCATCACTACCAATTTGTATGTGTTCCCCTCTAGAAACGTGTCACGGTAAATAAAAGTGGTTACAAAACTGTATCCCCTCTAAATTAAGAATTCACTGGACACAAACACATAGTAGTGTTTCATTGTATAATTCCTTCTCCAATGTAAAATCTTAAACTAACTTAGATGGGGTGATTAATTGCATTTACATCCCATAAAAAAGTGAATCAGCCACTTTTTAAAATCGTCTTTTTCTAGTTGATAAATTACTTGAACTGATTCCCTCCCCACATGCCTTAATGTTACTATTCCACTGCACTGTTTCTCCAAGTATCTAGTGGGCACTCAATTAATACTTGTAGTTAAATGTCCAACTCTGCTGTTCTTACAAGTAATGTATCTGTAGGTACATTAACATTCATAAGGATTTAAGCGTAAATACAAAAAGTAATCTTTGTAAACAGTTCTCATGTCATACCCAATACAGAATGTTCAACGAAGCATTCAAGTCACTGCTGTTACGACAAACAACTTTATAACTCAAATATATACTCGTTAGCCAAACATATTCTACGAAATATAAGAGCTGCCAATGCAAAAGTCAGAAGGACAATCAGAACAGTTGATCCAGTGTGGTTCATGTTGACTCTTGGTTGCTGTACCCGATTGAAGTCAGTCGAAGATGGAGCCCGCCTCTGACTCTGCTGCTGGGCACGGCGCTGCCGAGGGCTCATGGATGTGTTAGTGGACACCGGCGGAGTTCGCTCTTGGCTGGCCACTGCGCTGCTATTCCGAGTTCCAGACTAAAAAGGAAACAGGGAGAGTTGAGAGGCAAGACAGTGCATAAGATTAGTAAGGAATAAAATCATTAGGACTAAAACGTACTCTTCAGATAACTGTTAATCCCTGAAAGCCTGATAATACACGTCACTATTAATGATGAGGTTATTATAGTCATCATTTTTGTCCACATGCTATCTTAAGAAGTAGGCTATTTAAGCCACAAATTAGCAGTTCTAAGGACAAGCAAAGTCTGAAGAAAGACTGTCAAACAATATTTGAATTCTAGATTAGTTCCAAATCAAGAGATTTCAAATATCTGTGTTGAGGATTTGCTAAACTCTTTGCAGTTCAAGAAACCTTTAATAATCCTCCAGATAGTTAAGTCTCTGAGGATGTGTCACGTCACCTATACTGAAGGGGAAACAAGTTGGGGAGGGCAAGAAAGGAAGGCGAGAGGTCCAGAGAACTGTAATTCAGCAATGCTGCACTGTGTCCTGCGCACAGCTGGGTCCAGAAGTCTGTTCTCATCACCACCAACTACACTGGAAAAAACAAAACAAAACTCCTGAACACAAACCACCTAAGTGCCTCCAGCACGAGCCATGAGCGTACGCACGCATGCACATACCTATTGCCCTCTACTGGGCTACCGTTATATTTGGTTAAAAAAATAAACATTGGCAACTCATGTTCAGCTCAGGGAGTATTATTCTAAAGAACATAATTTTTCAGTTTGTAAGACTGAAACTATGGGTTCTGATATTCCACCAGCCTAATCCTGGTTGCAATACTAAAAGGCTCAAACTTCCAACATTTCGATATTTAAAATAGTGAAATAGCACAGTTGTTGAAAATAAACATTTTGACAACATTCAATTTTAAAGTGTTTTTTTTTTAAAAAAAAAAAAGTAGCTCAAAGTTACTTCTTGAAGTCTTCTTTTCAATTCTCAGAGCAGCTTGCAGGTATTCCCACGTAAAGCAACCTGCAGCTATTTTCCAGAGTTAGCTTTCTCCCCTTTCCCTTCTTCTAAAACATTGATTATCATTACAGCAGGTAAAACTAGAATTCTGGACATTTTATATGTGCTTCCAAGCAAAAGCCTTTTACTGGGCACAATATCCATAACCATAAGCACTGTTTCAGCCAGCTACTATATCCACAAAAGATATCCTTTCCCCATGGCCAGGATAGGGAACATCCTCAACTGTGTATCAGGTTTAATGATCCACAGGACAGTAAGTGGGACTTCGTCCCGTGACTCTTTGGCCACATATTCTGCATGTGGGAGAAGAATTCCAAATTTTCACATAGTCAGTGATTTCACTAGCCCAGGGAAGAGACCTGCCTTTCCTACCTCCTCACCATTAGTGTTTCTCACTGTTTATTATCAGCAAGGAAGTACTGATGTAATTACTTGCCACATTTGACAACTTGCCTGTTTACACAGGTTTCTTGCCTAAGCAAGCAAGCAGCTTGGGTGACTTCAAAGAAACATGTTTTTAAAAGATTTATTTTATCAGCAGACAGCCAAGAACACCACAAGCAGCTTGCCATGATTTCTACTACACTGCAGAAGAAAGCAATTCTGCTTCATACTGAATCCACTTGAAAGCTCCTCATGCCAAGGAAAATAAAGACTTAGGGAAGCTGAGCCTTTGAAAAATTAAGTTCCTAAATTCATCTACGCTCCCATCTTTCAGAAGGGGAGAGGAAGAAAAGTGAATTCAGGAAGAACGAACTGCAAATTCAGCAGGCAAAGCATTATTCTTCTTAAAGGAACTTCTTTTTAAAAAGGAATTAAAAAAGAAATATTCCTGATCCTTCATACTCACTAAGAAAACTAACTAGCACTGGCTGTCACACACCTGGGTTTCTTCCCAACACTGCAAATTTTTAATTTAAAAATAAAACAAAGGCCCTGTTCTGTATGAGACACGCTGCCATACACCGACACGAAGAGAGCTGTCACACAAGAGAAGCTGCACCGACAATTGCAAGGCTTTAAATTATTGTTTTGAGGAAATTCTACAGAGACATCAAGGCAGGAGAAGACTGACTGCTTCACCCAAAGCTCAGCTAACCCACCGCCTTGGGATTTCCAACATAACCAGTGACCAAGTATTAGCAGACATGCAGAAGCAGGTTAGATAAGAAAGGAGTGATCATTACCTGATACAAATTTGGGACCAGATGCTACTGTGTCTTAAATAATATATACATCTAGATAAAGATTTTTTTGTTTGAAAACTTAATTGTTACGAATCCCAAAAATGGCAGATGGGCTATATAATAAATTTTAAAAAAAAAAATATCATAATCATCTTGTCTTCAAGTGGGTTTAGCGGGCATGGTGGCATCGGGTATATGGCTGGACTTGATGATCTTTGAGGTCTCTTCCAGCCATAATGATTCTATGATTCACCTACAGCAAGTTTTTAAATTCTCCTTAAGCAATAACGTCAAGATTTTTAGACTAACACAACACCTCACATGACACAACTTCCATCCAATTTTAAGTCATTTTCTGCCAAACATTACTGGAGATGTTGGGGATGAGGGCTTAAGAGGCCAAAAATAAAAATATTTCGTAAGAGCTACATTGTAGCCATCTTTAGCATCTGATCTTTACAGTCATTGAATACGCACTTACATGTCATACTATTTCTGAAGCTTCTGAAACTGTTAGGACTGGTAGAAAACTTTGCTGCAAGGACATCTGAGTTGGATGAATAAGGCTAGCTCAGGAAAATGTACATATATTAGAATTAACAAAAAGTCCTATCATATAACAAAATGCAAGTAAGGAAATTTACACTATGTTCAGTCTACTGAAGAACAGTAGCATTCACTGCATCATTTATGTCTCCAGGCCATTATTTTAAAAAATTTTATCAGCATGCTGGAAGTATTAAATAATCATCTTAGAAGGGAGATTTTAAAAACAGAGCAAACTCTAGGAACTCAACCATATAAATCCTCCGGGTTACTGAAACCTCTTTCAGTTATACTCATGATCTCAGAGAGATACAGAAATAAGAAGACAGGTAAAATTCTTGTTTGTCCATGTAACTTCCAACTGAAGAACAGCTGAAGTTTGACACAGCATGGCTTAATGGCTAATAAGAAAAATGTCTATTTTTTAATGAATCAAAGTTGGGCCAAGTACTCCTGATTGCCAAGACATTCAAAATCGTTGCTGCAGTATTACAAAACTTAAAACATCACTTAATAGCGACAAAAGGAAACACTTTTTAACAATACATCATCCGGAACATATGACTAAAAATAAGGGCTTCTATAAATCTCATGTATCAGAATATAGCCTCATTTTCTCACAGGAACCTCCCTCATCAGTTCAAGATTAGCTGACTTCAGCTACACTGTTTATTACATCACTCCTCATTATAATGCTTCATCTGGTCAGTATATTAGTGCAGGACACTACTATAGTATATTGTTTAATAACAGGCATACTGAGGTTTAATGTAGTCCCAAGTCATCAGAAAAAAAGTCTAACCACAGTTTTTAGATTGTCACTTTATAATTCTTATCAAGTATCAACTTTATTCATCAACTATAAGCACCAAGGTGGGACATCATTCCACATCAATACACTAAACGGGTTACTACAGGCATGGTAGGAGTTCAACTTCCCATAATAGTCCACGTGGATTTATTTAGTCACTGCAGTCAGGGGGACAGACAGAGCATTGCAGCCTCCCAGCCTCTGCTTCTCAGTAAGCTGCAGTGCTCTCCAGCCTCCACTAACTAGGCCCTCGGACTGGGATGAGAGTTTTGGTACCAATATTTCAGTGACCACCTGCATAGTAGGTGACTGAATCTGGACCCGAGTCTTTACAATATATTCATTCAAAAACATTCTTCTGCTCAGATGTGGAAGACTCTCATTTTCTTAATGGTAAGGACAATTACTTTTATCAAGCCAACTTCCAGCAGTACCCTGGCTTGCAATTTGAATACTCAAACAGGAATAGTGTACCACTACTTTGCTCTGAGTAGACATCAACAGCTACCAGAAATTTTTTTTTTAAAAAAAGTATATATATTGTCAGAAGTAGTCTTGTCAGAGGTGTTTTCTGCACCAGCTTCAGACTCCTCACAAGTACTACGCTGCATAATCCTTTCAGTAGCCTATTGTTTTAGCCTTAATAACGCTTAAAGCCTGTTCTTTGCAGCTCTGCATCCTTCTACCCAAGCTGCTGTGGCAGCATTTTCCAAACCCTCCAGGGCAGCATTGTTCCTTTTATTGTTCTCACGCTGTTGTACTCATCGTCTTGCACCTGCAAACCTTGATGGTGTTTTTATGACAAGTTCTCCTGGAAGCAACTACCACCGGTGTGAGAATCATCCCTCCCTCCTCCTTTTTCTTCATTGAAAGATATGTTATTTAAATACCTGATAAATATTATCTAGTAATATAGGTTCACAAAATTTTCACAGCCAATGTGCAACATTTGCGCTAGCATTGCACACTTCAGTCATTGTTAACAGGGCAACAACCAATGAGCAAGTCTTGATGAAAAAAGTACATAGTACTAGGTGAAAAGCATGGCAAAAAGTCATCTTCATCATCGCCACGTGCTGCATTGGAGAGACAACCTCTATACCTCTGTCTGCTTTTTAAAAAGCAGGAACTCAGGAAATACATAGTCAACATTGCACTGGGAAGGTATTCAGTCCTCTGCTAGAGAGCAGCTCAAAGTGGACACTGTAGGAATTTTAAGCGTGGCATCAAGATATTGGCTGTCGGTCTAGCAAAATGACAAGAGAAGGTGGGGAGGGAGGGAAGTGACCTAGAAGATGAGGTCAGGCAGGCAGAGCCCAAAACCCAAGACCGCTGAGTGCACCTCTCCAACAGCGCAAACACACCCATGCAACAATTACCTCGCACAGTATGGCTCTTCACAGGCAAAAATTTGTAAGGCTAAAGTCTTGAATAATCCAACAGTTCACACTATGATAGCACTGTTGTTAATATAAAAATTGCCATTACTAACACACAAACAACTATTTCAAATTGAGTTTTGAAATCTGAAAGAGATATGCTCAACTAAAATACGGTAAGTTTTGGTGCTTCTTTAGTCAGTGAGGCTATATTCCTTTCTCTAAGTGAACGCTGACAGAAGGGAAAGTTAATTCAAAATTTCTTCTGATGGAATGAGAAATTCTCTCTTCAGGAATAAAGCCCTGTATGAAAAAGGTGGAATGAACCCAAAATGATGCCATGCCAGAGACCCACTTCAGTGTGCTCTTCACAGAAGAGCTCAGTTAAACCTATCCTGGAAAGGACACCACTGTGCTCACGAATATCTTGCCATCAATTCATTGCAAAAAATCTCTGTCCTTTCAAGTGGTTTAAAGGTAAAAATCATGGAATAGACAATTGCTGCTGGAAAGAACAAACTCGCCCGTGAAGCAGTCTGTAGACTGGTTTCTCCATAGTAAAACATAGCCTACAGATTCCCTCCTCTTCATGTACAGGTGACTCTTTCCTTAGCACCTATTTACCATCATGTTTTTAATGAAAACCAGTTACAACTGTTCCAAGAGCAAAAGAAAGGTAAAACTCCATTCTTTCTGCATGATTCCTGCTACTTTTTTCCCCTTGCATTGTGTAGCAAGACATAAGGTCCGCTGACTTCAGAGTTAGGCACATTAAATCTACTTTACCGGAAGGACTTACGCAAGCTAATGCAAGGATTCAGTACTGGGTCTATCTCTGCCCTTTTTATTCTCAAAGGGCATAAATTTCAAGTTCACAACAGCAAATTTTCTACAGTAGATTTAATTAAACACACATTTGTAGAGTAAGTGGTAAACATTTTATCCAAGAAGAGAAAAAAAATAGTTTTGATATTGCCCACATCTAACACACTTACAACTCGGTAAGGTAGAATTAGGTCTTTACACAACAAGAACGAACCCAGCAAACTGATTCTACCCACGCAAGAAGCCCAGCTGAGTAGAAAGGCTCTGAGGTTTGCATGGATACTCTTTCACACCTACTAGCAGATCAAGGGCTCCAACCCCCTACTTTGAGACGATTTCTATTAACTTAGGCATTAAAAAGAACGTAAAAATTGCAAGCTCAAATTCTTTAAAATAGTCTTTCCTGTTACACATTCCTTTCTTCCACTGTGTGGTTGTAAGTTTTCACTCCCTAATGGCTCCAGAAAATTCCTAACACTCAAAATATGGCAGCTCAGAAACACAGGTATTGCTTTAAACTTGAAGTAACAATCACGAGTGTGACAGTCTGATGCCTTAAAACATGAATCCACTTTTCATCATTTACAGTTTATTACGTATAAATATTTTTACATACATTTATATGTTTAAAGGTTTCATTTCACATGGGACTGTTCTGCTGAAAATTAAGTTAATCATTACTTACTAATCAGCAAAATTGATTAAAACAAATTTCTTCGAAATGGATCAATCAAGAAAAGTCTCTTTCCTCAAGAAAATGCTTGCAATGCCTTGGTATTTTGGCTAGTTCTACTATATTAGCCAGGATTTGTAATAAGAAGAATAAAATAAAATGGTTTATTAAATCCTGAACAATCTGGAAAAATCCTTATTGTGGGGGAAAAAAGTATGCTATTAGCATGTTTATATTTCTATACAGCTTGAAAATACGTTGCAAACACGCAACAGATGGTCTGATGTTATTTGACGTGTTTTAGGGTTTTTTAACCTATCTGCAGCCCCATCCTCTCTAAAAAAGACAGCTTAGCTGGGATTTGCCTGCAATTTATCAGTGAATTTAGATTGCATTTGCCAGAGTCATAACAGCAGCTGCCTTGGCCCACCACCAGGCCTTCGGCACTTCCAAAACCATTATGTAAGCCCTACACCTAGCAATATTAAAACCCAAGTGTCATACTTCAAACAGTAAGAATATTTTAGTCAGATTTACTTAAGAGGTTATAAAAACCAGGAAGATATCCTTAATTAATATTTAAAAGCTACAAAGTATCACTGAAACGTTTTATTGCAAAAAACTGAGATATATTATGCAGATGGTAAACTTCAGTACTTCAGACACCATAATATTTTAATGAACTGTTCACCCATACATTAAAGGAATTACTGGGAACAAGAATTGCTAAAAGAACATTATTTATTGCTTTTAAGAGAAGGAAGTGAAAGCAAAGAGATCACTATTTCTAAAAGTGATTCAGCACACTACTTGCTAAAGTTTACACAGATTTTATTTAAAAGTACGCAGAAGTTCTAGAAGAAATGTACATGAACTACATACTCCTAACAAAGCCTCCAATCAGCTTAATAGTACCGATTTCATGTTCAGACTACGCCTGTACTTGCACTGATAAAGCTCAACGACAGACCATACCGTTGCACTTGTTGGATCCTGGAATGCTCTATCTGCCCCATCCTGCTGGGGCTCATGTGAAGCGGCAGTGTGGTTCAATCCTGACGTGTTTGAGGGTCCAGCATCAGATTTCCTGGATGAATTGACTTCTGCCTACAAGAAGTACATACGTACGCTTCAGAGACAAGATCAAAACTGACTCATAAAGATTTGGCTTATTTTGAAATGTGTACTTTAACGTATAGAGAATAACAGACTTACTTAAATGTAATAATCAAGTATGCCAACTGCATTTCAATTACACACCAATGGGTTTAAGAAATTCCGATTCTTTAAGAATAAGATTATAGATGTGCAAATATCAGTTTAAGAAACAGTTTTAAGTTTGTTTGCACATAACAATAGGTATAACATTCAAAAAACATACAGATGTATAGAACAAAAAAGAAAATTCTTTAGAAGATCCAGGACATTACGCCAGAAATAATACCATTTTTTAAAACTTCTGTTTCTCATGTCCTTAAGTGAATGCTGACTAGTGTTGTGATATAGCCCGTTTCTCAGAAGGTCTACAGCCTCCGCTAAGTGCTAATTTAATGTGGCTATACTGGTTCTCATACCGAAGTTGCCTCACAGCCAGAGTGGGTATATATGCAAGGTACTACACTGTATCAGGCACACAAACCTGAGTTTCCAGTATTTAAATTTCAGCACAAGAAGAGCAAAAGAAAAAATACAAGTCTCGTAATACTGCTCTTATATGCCTTCATAAAATGTCTAATAAGCATCAATTCCCAGAATTTAGGTTTCATGCTTTTGGAAATTTGAGACAAGAGATCAGTAGTGACATGTAGAAGATCATGAACAAACCTTTTGTTAAAATAGTATATATGCCTGCAATAATCCCTTGGGAATGGAAAAGGACATAGCATCATAGTCCTGAACTGAAAGACTTTAAAATTATACATCTAAAAAAAAAAGTCATGACCAGATGACTAGATCAACTTTTATCATCAAGCAAGTCACCTCCCAAGTCATGTATCTAGATCTCAAGATGACAATTCCAAATTTAATACCCATCTTCAAATGCAGATATAAGTAGTGGTAGTAGTAGTGAGAAATACAAACAGTGTACTAGAAATCAATCAGTTATGGTGACAGCAAGCTGATAAGATCACAAGATAATAATATTCTTTCATGATACTATTTTGTATGACGAAATTAAATTCTCTGTTTCTTTATGTATATTGTCTCAGGATAATCCAAAAAGAGTATCACTGAAACAACCTGAAAATGAATTTAAGATTTAAGTACACTCATAATCTGACAACACTGCTTTCCTTGTGACTATTACGAACTCTTAGCAGGACAAGTTATAACTCAAATATGGACCAGCAACAACACAACACAGCATTATAAATAATTTAGGCTGGAATGGACCTCTAGATGTCATCTGGCCCAACCCCCTCCTCAACGTAAAGTCACGTTCGGTCAAGTTTTGAGCATCTCCAAAGCTGGAGATTCCACAGCCTCTCTGGGTAGCCTCCTCCAGCATTTGACAACCAGCAGGGTGAATTTTCCTTTCCCACATCCAGTTGTAAGTTCCTTCCCTGGAATCTGTGACCAATGCTATTCATACTTCTGCTTTTTTCAAGAAGAGCTCATTTCATCTTTACTGTTAATCTCTATAAAGCACATACCTACCAAATGTGCATTTGATTTATTTTAGTTTATGAAAGTACTAAGTCTAGTATGCCAGACTGAAGTCAGACTAACATTCAAAAAAAATAAAGTACTTGAAAGGTCCCAAAACCAAAATATCTTTTTTGTCACATAGTCTCTCTTTTCTCCAGCCCTCACCTCTGCTTCCAGAAAAGCTGGAGAGAACACAGACATGAAGGAAAGAAGATTAACATAGTTAAATGTAATAATGAGTGGAGAATTAACTTTACTGCAAAATATGCCTTGTGATGGTAACATGTAGATAAACCATACTGTTTTACAGTAATGCGTATGCTATTAGTCATCTATCATTTCTTTCTTTGTTTTAAGTGGAATGGAATTTATGTTATATAGCACCTAAAATGCACAAAACAATTTGCAAGTCAATGTAAAGCTGATTAAAAAAATTTAATTTTCTATTAAAACAGACAGGAACAAAGATGGAGGCTTACAGAAGCAGGAAAACTGTAATGAGGAAATGAGGTTTGTTATTTTTTTCTCCTGAATTTCATATTCCTTTCTCAATACTACACATATGGGTTTTTTAAAAGTTACCATTTTGCTTAAGGCTGGCATGAAATAGTTTTTCATAATCCCAGGATCATCTAGAAAAAGTTAGGAAATCTCTTCTTTAAGGATCAGGATAATGCAGAGATTGCTACTATGTTTGCTAGTAGAGAGGCTCTCAAATTACAAACGCAGTCAGCAGCCTGACGTTAAATCTTACGCTATATGGAATATATCCAAATGATTAAAAGCTTTTGTATTCCCTGCTAGTAATTCATACTATTAGTTTACTACAAACATATCTACCAAATGCCCCAGCCTAACATCAATCAAACAAACAATAACAAAGTCAAGCAAAGCAGAGAAGCAGGAAGCTTAAAAAAAAAATCAATCCCTAAAATTTTATTTGAGAGAGGCAGGGAGGACACAACCAAAGGACAGAACTAATTTACCTTGTAAAAAACCCACAATGGATTGTAAATGGCTGTAGAAACCTGAGGCTTTTGTTCATTTTTCCCTTGCTGAGTGTTTGTTCTTGGGAGGTGGAGTAAAGTGTGTGAATACAAGGAACATATCAATATTCTTTAGAGACTGATGTCCCTAAGTCTTTAATTTTAAAACTGAAAAAGGTATGAAATCTAAGTTAAGAGTTCTTTCAAAGAAAAATTATACTCTGATATTTCTAGAATTTCAATGATGAAGATTAGCAGTTCTTAAGCAAAAATTAATCCTACACTTTTTAACCCTTACATATAGTAAAAAAGCCAGGAGCAGGCAGTCCATTGCTTCTCTGAGTAGTTCTTTTTTTTTTTTCCCTGTATCTCCTCATCTTTGTAAAATATTTTGAGACGTTTTTATCATAAGTATTACTACACACAGACCCAACCATGTCAATATGTCTAGACGCAGGAATATGCGGGTCCTGCAAAACTGGCAGTAATGCTCAGTAGGAGGCAATCTGTACTGTCATGGCAAACACCAAAAAATAAGTAGTCTTTAGGACAGTGTTAGAACACTGGTGATAAAAGGGGACATATTAGCATCTCTGACCTTCATGAGGACATACTCCTCACCAATGTCACATTCTCATAATATATTTCACTGTAGTTCCCTGCCCTCATGCACAGCAGTCTTCCTTAGTGGCTGGTTTAAGAGTTTAGTGAAAAAGCCAGTGAAAAACAACTCTGTGCATGCAAGACATGCAATTTTCTAAGTCACATACTTGGCTAAACAAACCTTACTTTCACTGAAACACAAGCTAGAGAATACATTTTTGGGTAACAGCAACTTCCATACCAGAGTTCAACTTTCAGTGTCTTCAGCTGCAGAGTAGTTCAAAAGAATTTGCAACCATTTTTCAGTAGGAATATGTTTTATTCCTTCCACAAGCCAAAAGGAGAAAAAAAAAAAAAATCACAAAGGAAAAAAAATTTACGTTAGCTTTGCCCAAAACTTTCCTAACACTTTTACGATAAGACTACTTCCAGAGAATTTAATCGAGTTATTAGTGACTGAAAACATGGAAGTAAAAGCAACATAGGCAGTTCTTACCACAGTGCTCACCACTGAAATTAAAACTAAACAATCAGTGCTTGAGATACACAATTTATTAAGTTGCATATTTCAAGAGATTCACCCCTATTTTTCTCTTTCAGAATGTCCCCAAAAAAACAGGTTTCCATGTAGTGATTGAAGAAGGTTTATGAAATGATCAATGTTTCTGCAATTTACAAGTTTTTCCTCAATAATTTTTTTTTTTTTAACTCTATACAACAAGGATAAAAGTTTAAACAGTGACTTCACCTTGAAGCTAATTTGTCTGGCAAGTTCTTTAGCCTCCTTGTCCGCCTGGCTTGACACGCTTCCAGATGTTAGTGGTAAGAGGACTGTCTTCATAGATGTGCCACACATTTCACAACAGAAGTCTTGTGACCTGGCCACAAATGACATAGCTCAGAATAGCGTGTTCTCATAATGTTCTCGTGTGTTTTTTTAAATAAACTATTTGCGAAACAATCCACAGAAAGACAAGTGGTGTCAAGACCAGTAGTTTAAAAGTACTTCCCTCCACCCCAAATCACACTATCTTGAAAAAATATATTGGAAATTATCTATACTACAAATACATATTCTCTCATGTCATTTAGGAAAGTATTAACAACTGACTTACATATTGCTATTATCTATATCAATAATTTGTTACCATTTTAAAGGTTAATTTATACCTGCAGTAAATTAAAATTGTAAATTATAAAGATCTAACTACTATTACAAATATTAAACTGGACCCAGGAGCTTGCACCTCAAACCCAGGAATTTCAGCTTCTGCGAGAGCATTACCTTTCCTCTCTTGCACACATAATTTATCTATAGGGCACGCTGCAGGCAGCTCTCCAAGCCGGTGAGAAACCACACAGCCTTGATAGTAGAGTATCAAGACCAACCCACTAACCCCTACCTCTCAGCAGGGTTTATTAGCTTTGACTCAGTGCCATGCTAACAGGAAAGTTGCAGCTTCCGACTGGCTCAGAGTAGAGGCAGAATAAGCTCACATCTGCCTGCAAAATAAGGCACTAGTTACAATTTGGAAAACAGTAACTTTGCTTATATCCCCATAGGGATATGGTCTTTCAAGTACCTTCTCCTCCCCAGATGGGGAAAGGAGAAAGACCAAAAAAACCCCACAGGTATAAGATTTCATTTCAGGATAATTCCAGAATAGCTGAGGTTGGGAGGGACCTCTGGAGATGATTTAGTCCAGTCTCCTTGCTCAAAGCAGGGCCAAGCACAGGACATTCCTCAGGTCTGCTTCCAGTCACATTTGTAAAATCTCCAAGGAGAGAGACTCCACTGCTTCTCTGGGCAACCTGTGCTAGTGCTTTGGCCATCTTCACAGTAAAAAAAGTGTTTTCTTGCATTCAGATTCAATACTGGGTTTCAGTTTGTGCTCATTGCCTCTTGTCTTGTCACTGGATGCCACCGAGAAGAGCCTGGCTCTGCCTTATTTATACCTTGCTCTCAGATATTTGTACACATGGGTAAGACCCCCTGAGCCTTCACTTCTCCAGGCTGAAGACTCCCAACTCTCTTAGCCTCTCCTTGTATGAAACATGTTCCAGACCCTCAATCACCTTTGTGGCACTGCATTGCATTTGCTCCAGTAAGTCCGTATCTTTCTTGTACCCCAACCTTGACACAACCCCAACCTGGACCCAGCACTCCAGATGTCTCACCAGTGCTGCCAAGGACCACTGCCCTCGACCTCCTGGCAATGTTCTTCCTAATGCAGCTCAGGATACCATCAGCCTCCTTTGCTGCAAAGGCACATTGCTGCCTCGCGACCAGCTTGGCCTCCACCACGACCCCCAGGTCCTTCCCTTCCAAGCTCCTTTCCAGCTGGTCAGCTGGCATTATTCCTCCCCAGGAAGAGGACTTTGCTTTCCTCTTTGTTGAATTTGATGAGACTCCTCCAGCCCGTTGAGGTTCCTCTGGATGGCAGCAGAACCTTCTGGTTATCAGCCACTCCTCCCAGTTTGTATGTCTGCAAACTTGCTGAGGCTGCACTCTGCCCCATCATCCAGGTCATTAATGACACTGAATAGCACTGGCCCCGGTATCAACCCCTGGAGCACATCAGTAGTGACCAGCCTGCAGCCGGACTTTGTGCTGCTTACCCCAGTCCTTTGAGCCAGGCAGCTCACCAGTGCCTAATCCATCTTACTGTCCCCACCTCAACCTAGGTTGTACTTTATGAGTTTCTTTATGAGGATGGTAAGGAAGACAGCATCAAAAGCCTTGCTAAAGTAAAGATAAACAACATCCACTGCCTTCCCCTTGTCCACTAAGCTAATCATTTCAGCAGAGTCACAAATCTAATTTTAAGTTAATTTCCTAAAAAAAAAAAAAAAATTAAAAATGCATTCATAAGCAGTTGCTTCAGATTTTTTTGCCACTGTTTCACTGTTATTATTTACATAAGGGAAATGATGCATCATTGTTTTGGTTGTTTTCTCCCCCACTTACTATCAATTCCATCATACTCATTTTCCCTCCACGCTGCAATTACCACTGTATCACAATGTTAATTACAACTCTAAGCCTGAATTTTAGACACACCTCTAATTTGACCACACAATGCTGGAAGGAACACAACCCTCCAAGTATTTTGTTTGACCGTAAGTTCTGAGTTTGCACAATGTTCAGGAAAAAAAAAAGTATACATAAGGCATAGAACTTTTTTTATATTTGAAATAAATGCAACAGAACAAACTAAAGTGACTTACTTTCTACTCAATGCCTTACCCTGAAAAAGAGTACATATATATGTACCTACAGTAACAAACTTAGTGCTTACTTCTTTGCAAGAGCTCTTCTTTCTTCTGGTGTATAATCTAAAGATCCTATTGCTCCTTCACCTTTGGTTGGCATAAATCCAATAATGGCTAGTAAAGCTGTTCTTACTAAAATGGGAAAACAGAGATACAAATGAGGTCACAGAAACAACTATTATGTCATCTCAGTATAGAAAAGTTGCAGTTTTGCCTGCAAAACTTCATTTTGTCCAAAGGAGTGGTCTGAATTTCATACAAGCAGCACAAGCAGGCTTTCTTCATATTTTAAACTTCACATTATAAATGAAAGGTAAGGCCTTATTCTTCCATCAGCCAACACAGAGAAGAAAAGATTAAGTTGTCACAAATATGTTGCATGAATATAAAGATTAGAGTTCCAGACTTTAAAAATGGGTTCTGAAGAAAAAAGGTAAGGCAGACTAACATATAAATTGAGCAGGGGAGAAGAGGAGGATTCATAAGGCATTCTTCTTTTTGTGCATGTTTTCTGTTAGACACGAATTCTGCAATTTAGTGCACACAAGCTCAGTGGTTTTCTTTTATGCAATGTACCGCATAATTTGTTCCTTTTATGTCATCATGCTGGGGAAGGAGCTTACTTAAAGACTAATAACAGCTCATAACAGAATTGTCATCTAAAACATCTCTTTTGACAATATCTACTCTTTAGTTTTGTTTTACATAGTCATGAATTTTAAGAACAAGACACTTTGTTAGTAGATTTGATAAATAAATATCACATAAAGGTAAGTACCACAAAATAGAGAGAGGATATTTACACCTTTTACTTAGAAGACAGTATTTTCTACTCTTTAAAAAAATAGACGATACTTTACAAAAGTTTAAGAGTGGTCTGCTAGAAAATTCCTAAGATCTTATCAACACATTTTAGAAGCGCAACTGATCCAAAGAAATGACTGATGTACTGTACTCAGCAAAACTAAAATTATATAAACACAGAAATATTGCCTTGGGTTAATTGTGCCAACTCTCAATTTCTGTGACAATGAAACTTAAAAAAAGGTAGAAAGCATTCAGTTATTCCAAATTCAGACCACATTGTCTTTCCTCTTGAGTATTCACAAGTACAGCATCAGAATTAGAAGCTGACCACACTCCCCTCTATCAATATTCAAGCTGGTTTTAGTGATTATACAAAAACGGGGTAAAGTAACAGGATTTAAAGTATTTTCATAAGAACAATTAAAAAAAAAAACAAACCCAAAGAATATTCTAAGTAGTCTGACAATTCTTAATGCTGGTGCATCCAAATAAGTAAGAGCTTACCATCACCCCTCAGGTTCTCAACCCTTTCACACTGCATTTATTTAATACCATTCCCAAATCCTCCTATGTCACTCTTTCATGACTTCATATTTCTCAAATTCTCCCATACTTTTATTTCCTCAAAATCTGACTCCTTTTCCACTATAAACATTATTTGTGAGATTTTTTTCAATATAAAGATCTAGTTGCTTTATGGGGGCAACATTTTCCAAATAATTGTTACTTACTGCTCCATGAAGGCTGCCATGTTTCAGGATGATGCCCTGAGATGCTTAAACAAATTTTCTTCCCCACTTCAAACCTGCCGTTGGCCTTCAAAGGAAGGAGGAAGATACAACAAAACATGCTGGAAGTTAACTTTTGGGTTTTGGTACAAGTTGTAAAAATCATGATCAAACAAATCTACATGCAAACAATAGTTGTCATTGTATTACTGCCAGTCTCACAAAATTGGCATTCAGCTTTCTGAAGAAAGAAGTCTGCCATCCGCCTCTATTCATGCATGAAGAAACACTTAATTGGCACCTCACATGTCCCAGTGCGACACGGTGGCTTGCCTGTTGCTCCTGTAACGCACACACCACATGCAGAGACCCCAAAAAGCTATAGCTCTATGAAACTATGCATAAACCTGGGCCTTTGCCCCAAACCATAGGTCTACCTTCCTACATGTGACCAAGGTCTCCAGCAGAGACCAAGAGGGCCCATGGAGAGAACAGAAAGTCAGACAAGCACCTCAGCAATGGGATTACTCCTGGAAAAAACTTCCATTTATTAGGTGCAAAGCTTCATGTAATTACAGAATACCAAAGTCACCTTGGAAGACTTGTGGTCTTAAATCAGCAGCATTAACTATACTATGCCACCTTTCTTAAAAAAGTAAGATTACCTTAAATGCCAAGAATCTCTCTCTCTGACACCTATGGTTAAATTGATGACGTATAAAGGAAAAACTAGTAAACATGCTTACCGTCAGCAAAATAATGCTGGGTGGTTTCATGGGATATTCAGGTGGTAGTACTATTCGCCCGTGATAAATCCCTCCATCGAAATCTGAATCTGGGGGGCCTCTAACAGTAAAATGCCATTCAAAAAGATTATCCTAAAATGCCCCCATCAAAGGGCGAAGGAAAAAAAAAAATAAGAGTGTGTCAAAGAAGTAGACAACTAAACACCATTTTCTTGAACAAGGACAGGCTAAAGAAACTGCACGGCACAAGTTTTAAGAAGTCAAAATTAAATGGAGAGTAAGACAACCAACACAGTACTAAGATCCTGGATAAAAGCATAAAATATTGTTGCTTTCTGGTAATTATCTTACCCAATGGCTTTGTTGAAACCCTCAAATTCATTATTCGAGCTCTTCACTCTACTTCTATAAATTATGACAAGAGTTTTATTACCTGACAGATGGAAGAAATGAGTCAACTAAGGGAAAACTGAGTGTTCGCCTCAGTGAATAATAATTTCTGGAGAACTGAGGGGAGACTCACCCCAAGAAAGAACATTAATGACAGCCTCCTCAAAGCCTCTTCCATGCCCAAGTCAACAAAGGGACTTGACTCACACCCCAGAGAATTCCCATCTCCTTTTGCTGCTCCCTGAACAATTTTGAAACAGCTACTGTGCCTTACTGCACAATATGTACACTTTGAAATTTAGAATATTATTTTATTAGACATAAATAACCTCTCTTTAAGCATTATTTCTTTGGGGTTCTGTGTTTGGCTTTGTGTATCAGATCTTGTGATGCTCATAACTTCTTCAATATTTACAAGCAGAACAACTCCTACTGTTAGGACAGGAGTCAAGTGAGGCTTGCTGTCAGTGAACGAGATCTCTCGACTAATGCTGAACAGTGGTATCACAAGGCTGTGAACCTAGTCACAATTTTTTCAAGGATGGGAAGTAACTGTCAGCATTTCCTTTCATCTGCCACTGCTCTCTTCCCAGTTGAGTCACTGTTCTAACCCAGAATAAAACCTTCACGTAAGTTACAAGTAATAGCATGAATTACACCTTAGGTTTTGCCACAGGAAGGGGAAACACAAGGTATGGACAAAAACTAATCGATAATAAGGTATATTTTACAGCACCTAGGAACATGCTATTTTCATGTTAAGCGTGCTATCCATTTCTGTGAACAGCTAAATCAAACCCCCGAACTGAATACCACAAAACATTGCCTTTTTTCTTATTCCAGCAAAATCAGAAGGGGTTTCTGTTCAAGCCTCTAACCATCACAACTTCACTGTCCTCTCAGCCCAAAAACTTAACTGGGTGTTTAAAAGACCTCAAGAAGATACTTTTAAGTGGAATCTAAGCATTCTCTCCTACAATCCATCCAGAATTGCAGCCATTTACGTTTTTCATAGGTTTTTTGTATGCAAAGTAGTGAATCCTCATCGATCACTAAAAACCGATAAGATGTACTTTCACTAACAACCTGGAATTACAATACCATTAAAGTGGAATTCTGCTGTTGATTTCCATCATAGGAAAAAAAGAACTGAATCAATTTTAAAAGGTCCGCTAGTATCTAAATATGTACATTTTAAATACATACGCATACAGAGAACTTCGAGTATATATTAATAACACAGCCTAATTACAAGCTTTTGCAAAAATAGAGAAACAAACCTCCAAAGGCTGTGCATGATAATGATCTGTAGGATCCTTCAGTTCTGCAGCCTCTTTCATCAAACGTTTGACAGCTGAAAAAGAGGAAGTGTAAGACATGAAAATAAAGAAAAAAAATGAATACACATTGAATACAAGAATACATAAACATCTCTTGAAGAGTTCCTTTCAGTTAACCAATCTTTTTCACCATATCCCAGCTTCTTCACTGGAGTCAATCCAAGACACAATATAAATTACCCACACTGAATAAATCTTGAGTTATACAAGCACAAAGCTATGAAAAATATGTTGCATGGTCACGGAGTTTCTCAACACTGAACACCGGGACTAAAGTAGCTTTACATTATTAACTGCACTAAAGACATGAGGAAAAACATAGGTGTCATTACTGCAGTTTCAGACTTTACATACAAGACTAACCACCTCGATATTTTATCATAAAGGACATCATGTGCATCTTTAAGCAACTGCTAAAAAGCTTTATCCTGACATCTCCCGTGACTATTACATGACTGCTCACTTAATTATTCCAAAGGAGGTCACAATAAGATTTGAGAGAAACCAACACACTGGTAGTATGAGGAGATGAAGTTTTATACTAGATTTGAAAACACATATGCCCAGTCAGAAAAATTTACCCAGGGCCTTTGTAACTTGAACCTACTATTGAGTGTGGACACACAGGTAGTTTTCTATCCTAAATTCAGGATAATCATTAGTTACCCTCTCCAATCTTCTACTTCAGAACCACCAGCATCATCTGTATTTTCTGCATCTCCTTTTTCCTTCCTCTTTAGTAAATTCTGTTATATCACTTCTCCTGCCGGTTGCCCTCACGTGCATCATGCATTAATGCCTAGTAAAGAACTCAGCCAAACTGAAGAGCAGATGAAACATAAGAACTACATACAAGAAATTCAAAGACTTCACCTCACAAATAAGGTTAAGTAGAAAGTTCTTACTCCTTCCTACCTAGTGGAAAAAGTGCAAATACCAGTTACCTCTTTAAGCAACTACATAGGAACAGGATCCCTTAATCCATCCTCCACATTCAGTTCAAACCATGGATGTCCCTCCCACTCATGTAATTAACTACAAAGAAGGAGAAACACTGCCCAAATTCCCTGACAGTGTAAGCATAAAGATATGGTGAAAGTGATCTGTACTTCCTCGATTTACAAAGCCTGGTATCACCAGCTGACTGTGGGCTGCGTAGCATGCTCCGACTTCAGGGCTTTACTCACTTTTGTGACGCTGTGAGGGAAGCTATTCTAACCTGCCCGCAGAGGAATTTTGCTTTCAATCTACCGTGAAAAGTTCTTTTCTTCCTTCGCACTTCTTGATGGCCATCAACAACAGCTCAAAGTTTGAGAATTTCACTTCTTATAACCCAAAAAGCAAACAGACTATGTGGAAATTTGCTGCTGCCAATTATCCCAATTCTGCTGCTGCCAGGAGGAGGTCTCCATTAAATGCCCTGCAGAGCCCATGTCACAGGCAGCGGCATCCCCGCTCCGCTGAAAAACAGTTTGTCTCTTTCATCTGCATTAGGGTTTACCAGTTCATTAGTGAGGAATAATAAGAAAACCAGCCTGGACCAGAAAAGGTTTCAGACCCAGCATTGTTTCACAGCCAAAAAGCCTGGACACTTGCCTTCAGATGAAGAGTGGCACGCACCCGGATGAGCTAATTCAGGAGTGAGCACCCCACGAAGCAAAAGGGTAACCATGAGAAAACTGAGAACGTATATAAAGAAGCGTAATGAAACAGAACAGTTGTGGACAAGGCAGACAACTCTGTTACTGAGATTTCCCAGACAAGGGACCAAGATAGAAAAGAAATACAGTCCCCCTATATCAGCATCCCGTGCAGTTATCCATGTTAACTGAAGGAATGCTAACTATTAGAGTAAAAAAAAAAATAAATTTCAAGACCATTCTACAAAAGTCTACCAACGCTCAGAGAAAGGTTTGTATCCAGCCTACCAGCCTAAAACTGAGCTCAGGATCTTTGGTAGCGCACGTCGGCACTTTGGATTTGTCCCAAAAGGAAGTGCCTTCTTCCTGTGTTAGCTCCAAGGCTGCCCGTCCCCTCGGTGCTGAGTGCCGGCAGGCAGAAATAGAGAAACCAAGAGTTTGCACTGAGAAGTAAGAGACAGAAGCCAGGTGGGCTCCTGTTAAGTAGGATTTAAAATGGAAGCAGTTTAAAGCATGGGGGTTTTAACATATTTTGGAATTTAATTAACAATGACAGTGATACTGTATGTATTTTTTCACAGCATTACTTTATTATCAAGAAGCTAGACTATAGATATTTTTAAAAGCCAGCATAAAATACACTGAAAGAATATGAAATATTATTCCACTCTTGGGAGCATGAAATACCACAAAATATACAATTTAGCTTTTGTACACCATAGATATAATTCACTTATACAAAGTTTTCAGTATCAAGCAACCTAGGATATCTGAAGAAGCAGCAGCACACGTATATGAAGGAAGGCCAAGAAAAAGCAGCACTTATATATGAAGTCAGGCTGGGGGAGTTGGGGTTGTTCAGCCTGGAGAAGAGAAGGCTCCGGGGAGACCTTACTGTGGCCTTTCAATACTTATAAGGGGCTTGTAAGAAAGACAGAGTTTTTACCACAGCCTGTCATGATAGGATGAGTGGCAATGGCTTTAAACTGGAAGAGGGTAGGTTTAGACACAAGGAAGAAATTCTTCCCGGTGAGGGTGGTGAGGCAGTGGCAGAGGTTGCCCAGAGAAGCTGTGGCTGCTCCATCCCTGGAAGTGTTCACGGCCAGGTTGGATGGGGCTTTGAGCAACCTGGTCTGGTGGAAGGTGTCCCTGCCCATGGCAGGGGGGTTGGAACCAGGGGATCTTTAAGGTCCCTTCCAACCGAACCACTCTGTAGTTTATTTCCACACTGCTGAAAAATGCCAACTGATAGGCTGCAAAAACAGTCTGGACCGATAAAGGTTCATTCTGAGAACGTGTGATCCCGTGAAGGAAGCATTAAGTTGTTTCTTCTTTAAGCACAGCTGCAGTTTTCGTGAACACATTCCGTCCTTTGGCTACTGAAAACTGCAATGGAAGAAACAAACGTAATTCACAACGTCTGCCTGCAACAAGTACAGGACATTCTTATTCAAACTTCATTAAAAAGAGTTTTCATGCATAATATGGTATTTCAACCCACTTAAAATCACACTGAGTCATCTGAGTAAGCATTTGGTAATGGCAATTCTGAAAAATGAGAATGGTTTGGGCCCTTTCAAAATAAAGAACTGCAAACTGTCAAAGTCAAAAAGTATTACTAATTCAGTAAAAAAAAAAAATTCACGACACTCAGTTTGTTGAAGACAGGTTTTAGAGACAAAAGAATCAAGGTATTTTTTAATGCGGCATCCCTGTCAGCATGAAAAATAAGCATGCTTTCACAGGTACAATCGGCAACAATTTACCATAACGTTCCTTGACATTAAATACTGAGGAAATTAAGTTTCTGGGCTAACTCCAGAGAGCAAAGGAGAGTTCCCTCCCTGGCAGGAGGCACGGGAGCTCTCCACTGCTCTGGGAAGGAAAGGAAAGAGCAAGTGCTGTGGGCCAGGCGCTCTGCCTGGCAATCCGCCTCTTATATTACACCAAACTTACCAAATTTTTTCTGAAAAGCAAAATGTGGATGTTAAAAATCTAAAAATCAAATTTAAAGCCACCAGTTTGCTGTAGGATTGAGTGGCGACGGAATAATAAGATTAACGAGCAAAATCTGTGTCATGTATGCATGTATGATTTCTAGACTTACTTCTGTCCAAAACTATGTCCTAGTCAAATCCTACTTCTTATTAACGTTTACCTTAAGCTATCCTGAAATTTCTGTTCAACACAACTTCTTCTCTTGGATGTATCCTGGAAGTCCCATTCAAGTACCCCTGCAATCATGCCCAACTAAACTAGTCTGCACCTCGTGGCCCGAGAAACCCTTCTGTCCATAGACAATGCAAGTAATCAGTCTTCATAAATGTCAATATTACTGCTTAAAGAGATGACGGGATTTGAACATCGGTGGTGTTCTCTTAGTAAAATATTATGCGTTATTTTTTTAAAAAATCTGTTATTGTCAAAATAAAAATGGTCTTCAAATGAAACAATTATGTTTAGCCTTACAGAGCTTTGTTTTGTTAGTAGTCTTCTGTATCTAATGAGGAAGGTTTTTCCTTCATTTTTATGTTACCAGTGAATAGTACACATGGCAATCAAATGAGCTGACCAAGGTTATATTAATGTAAACATAACACACAACATTGCAACAGGATTTATTTCAGCATAGCAGAGTTGCATACCTTTTGCTCACTGGAAATTCAGAAAATCTGATACAAGTTCCAACTCCCTCCAACACGCAAAACCCCAAAACCCAGAGACTGTTAGAAGCTTCCTGAGGATCTGCCACAACTTGTCTACAGAAGGCAACGGCACCCAGGTACAAGAGCTCAACAGGAGAAAGTGACTTGGGCAAGGGGAGCGGTAGAGGTGAGGTGGGTGACGTTGTAATGAAACCCAAGGTAGGGAGCACGGGGAGGGTGAGCTCTCAGTTCAGCAAGGCTCAGCCCCTAGCACTTCATCACAAGAAGAGACAGCGTTTTGTGTTCACAAAGATGACTGCAGTAAAACAAATTCATATTTAAGCCCTAAGGGTTGTGCGTGACAGTATCTTCCTCAAATGGACAGTAACTGTTTCATTCTACCTATTTTCAGTTCTTTTATTTGAAAAAGAAAGTACATAATAAAGGAACCCAAAAAATAGCTGGCATAAAGCTAGAGAGCTCTTAATCTTTCAAGTTGACTTATCTGATCTAGAAAAAAAAGGAATAAAACAACCTGACAGCTTTTACTGCTTCAGTAAATGCTTTCTACCTTTTTTTTTTTTTATGGCTGCTATTATTTCTTTTCTTTTCTTCATTTTAAGTAAGATTTAGATGTCTACTCAGGAGAAATACAGAAAAAGTAACAATTTTTTCCCATGGTTCTGCTGACCAAGACAGCGTAAGTAAGGATGCAATTTACTTATC